TTTAATAATATAAAAATTTCAAATGAAATCTATTTAATTTTCCAATTAAAAAGGATTTATAATAATATATGCATCTCCCCCTCTTTGGCCACTGTAAATATGGCAGACGCAAAAACCCATAAAGCACACTCTTGAAAGCTCTTCATTAATTATTTGTTAGCCACAAGTATAATTAGCGATACAAATTAAGCTTCTAGTCCAAAAAAGTAATCACCTGGCAACAAAAAACAGGCGAACTCGATAATCGACAAAAAAAATTAGTAATAGGATACGCATTAGTGTAAGTGCCAGAATATTTGATATGCAATACTAATGCGTAATTAATTATTTTTTGCTTCCGACAATTTATCGCTCGTGGCTTTTAACCCATATTCGCCAATTATTATTATCTCCCTACTAGTTATTAGCGTTGCCAATCGGAGAGAGCGGCCTAGTATTGCTTACACAAAAGTATTCGTACTTGTGTTGAGAAAATAATGATTAAATCGACCGCAAGTGGAAATGCCTGTAATCATAATAATACCAACTTTGTTTTTTGTATGTGAAATTCAGGTTATTTTCATTTCTTCAGAGGGTATATCGAAGTGGTTGAGTTATTAGCGTAATTTTGCCATATTTTCACCGAAAATAATTTAAAAATTCACACCACTGCACAATCTCAAAGTAATCTGTACAAACTCTTCTCCATGTTATACCCAAACCCAAAAATATCAACCACGTCATTGATGCCAGAAATAAATACAAAATCTCACGAACTCATTATCACCATGACGACACTCATTAACATCGAGCTATTATATTATATCTTCGCGAGCTTTGCATGTGTGTTTTTTGTTTTTTTTTTTTTGTTTTTGGGTTTTATTTATTTTTTGCTCACACTCTCCACGTGCTCCCCAGCTAGTAATCCCCATTTAAGTATAACAAGATTGCGAAAAATCCCCTTTGCGGCCGGGTCGCAAATACCATTGACATGCTGCTGAGGCGGCTAATGAGTGTGCACATGCGGGCAGAGCATGTGGAAGAGAGCGACGGCAGAAGCTTTGCAGTTAACGGTAAACGCCTACGACTGCGGAAATATTTTGATTAATCAGTGAAGCGGTTTGCTCTTATTAGTAAAGCTCATTAAAATTTCCGCTTATTGCAAATTCGCAAAGCAAACTGCACGCAATTTAAGTGATAATAGGATTTGCTTGGCATTCCAGTAATATGAGATGTGTTATATTCCATGAAACTGAGCAGAAATTTTACAAAATTGTTTTAGAAATATTGCGGGGAAATGTGGGAAAACTTACGGCGAACAGATGTGCCAAGCATGCATGAATCGATTCACAGAAGAGTTCTTTCACAATTTTAAATATTAGTCAGCCTTTCAATAATTGAAAAAATCAGCGCTGCGAGAGCTTATGTCTCATATTGACCAACCAGCGTTCAGTATTGCTCTTTTTACGCTCATTGAGAATGCTTTAACTTAATAGAGCTGCTCATATGTATAACTTACTGAGGGACGTATATTGCTCTCAGTAAGATATATGAGCAGCGCTATAAAGTGCGAGTGCCGCCAAATTTTTGTGAGTACTTCTTTGTCACCTGCTTATTTCATTCGCACACTTCTGTAATTCTCCATGGGTTTATTAATATAAAATATTTGCTTAAAAACCGCAAATAAATAGTTTTAATTCCATTTTTAATAATAACTAAAGATTGCGGATACATAATGTTGAAATTTAGAACAGTTAGAGAACTCGATTAGTATTTTCTCTGCACTTTATCAGCGTTGCAATTCCTTTCACATTTCTGTCTATTAATTAGCTTCCACCACATCTATTTTGGCTTTCTTGGTTAAGTGCTCAAATAGAGAGCCAGGAAAGCCTCGAAACGAAAATGGAAGGAAATTTGTCCACTTAACTTCCGCCAACCGCCAGTCGCGCGATTTAATTATCAGCTCTTAGCCACTAAGTCACTGCAATTGCTCGTATTATAGCTGCAAACTCCTTGCGAAAGCACCGCTGTGCTGTGTGGGCGTGCAGCACTGAAGGTTTGGCGAAAAAGCCAGCAATTGACTTAATTGCCGGGCTGCGACGCCCATCAAGCACATAAATAGACAGGTCAATAAGCAGTTATATACCAGCTAAACATATATGTGTGCATATAACATGTTATCAGGGCTCAAGCGTATATTTATTGGCTGGATTTGCGAGTGGGTGGGCGTGGCAGGAAATCAATTGTCAGCGCTGGTTGGTGACATAACAAAGCAAGTCGGTTTAGTTGCTTTATTTATTGTGCTTTAGTTTTGTATTTATATTTTATTGTTGGCTTTGTATTCTTTGTGCTCCTGCTTGGCAGTCACTGATGCATGCGTCTGCAGGATATAAATATGGTGGAAATGAAAGTGATCTACTTGCTGCACTTTTATTTTCAATTGACACGCGTCTGCTTAGCTTCGTAACGATATAATTAGTTGCTGGGCGGAAAAAACTGTTTCCAGTGAAATATTTTTTGTTGTAATATTCTATGTGGCCTTTTTATCGCTGCTATTTTTTCATGCCAATTACCATTTAGTGCAATTTGTTTGCTTTCGTATTATATTCAATATTTGTGCAAATTTTTCCGACTTGTTTCTAGTTTTTTAGATTGACTTTTAAAGCGTGCGTTTGTTGCTTTATTATTTCGAGCTTTGAGTGAGTTTTTTGCTCATTTGCGTGTATATTGCCGTAGGTTGATGATGTTAGAATATCTGTCTAATAAAATTTTGCACAAAGATATTTTTTGGTTTGAAATTTTAATAAGCAATTTCTCGTGGAAATATATCGCATTATAAAATACAATACATTATAATGTTATTCGAAATTCGAATCACGCTGAAAGCTACACAGTTTTGCTTAATAATTAAAAAATCTGTTATTAGCGCTTTTTTCTAAGAAATCAATTTTTTTGATAAAATTTTTATTTATATTTAAATTCCATAATTATTTTTAAAACAAATTTTTTTCACTTCTCGTTTTTACTAAAATACTGATACTAAATTATTTACTCCCACTTCCATTTCAGATTTTCCGTCGCGACCTCGCAAGTCATGCCAACATAAAACAAAAACGGTGAGTTCAAAAAGCAAAACAAATAATTTACATATTAAATTATTTTATAAAATATTAACCTATTTAAAGCCACTAAAAATATAAAATTCATTCCTTTAATAAATATTATATGCAAGCACGAGCTTTTTTTTTAAACAGAACAAATCATTTCGTTGTGAATGCCGAACAATAAGCTGCATACTTAAATAGCCAGTTTAAGTGTGGCATATAAAATTGTGCTGAATTACATATGAGTTGCGCTGAATTGCTGTTTGCTCCATTTAAACTTGCAGCATTAATGAAGCTCCGAATTTGCTTTTTTGTCAATTCTGTAAGGGTTATGCTGCGCTGAATTGCATACAAATTATTGTATAAGCCTTAAACTGCAAAAATGATGAACCCAATCACAAAGCGGATTGAATCTTCTGTTTTTAAATTTCCGATAATGCGCTGAAGAGTTGTTTTTGATAAATGTTTGCACAAATAGTGCGCTGAAACAGGCAGATAAGTGGCTGAGTCGTTTGCGTGATTGTCTTATTTAAGGCTGTGTTATATATACTTTTACTCAATTGCATTATTAGCGCTCTGGGTTATAAATTTAGGTAGCCGAAGTGCGATTTTAACTGTTTATTGCTTGAAGGAAGTATTCTTCTATTGCTGAATTGATATTTTTAGACTTCTATTTTAAAATTAAAATTGTGGGAAACATACGTTTTTTTAACAGAAAGTGCTTTACAAGAAAAATCTTGCTGAATTACATTTGTGCATGTCTAATTAGTATTTTTTTAACAAATAAGTAGGTTTTTTTTTGTATTTTTGTAATAAAGTCCTTAGCTGAATACCGCTGAATATATTTATTCCTAGCCAATTGATACTTTTTTTTAACAAATTTTTAGTATTTTTGAATACATACCTTAGCTGAATTGCGCTGAATTCCAGTAATTTTTTACTAACTTTTTTCTCTTGCGTAGCTCTTGCTTTATTTGTATGATGGTGAGCTAAATTTGCTTTTACTTTATATACACACTTACACACATTTTGTTTACTACTCTTCAAAATATTTCTTTTAATCTTTACCATGATTACGTTACTGTACAAAATTGCAATCTCTGGCATTGAACTGTCTAACTTATCTCTAGATAATTCTTATCTCATTAGCTGTCAAATTTGAAACAACAAAGCAATCAGTCTAACTGTTGAGGCAAAGATACGGTTAGAGTGTATAATTGGGAACATTTGTTTATTCCTTTAAATATTTTACTATTATCTACAATTTTAGTTTTGAAGTAAAGTTACAGTTTTCTCAATTTTATAAAAACTATTTATTTTATTGAGTTTTATTTTCATAAAAAAATTTTAGTTCCATTTGAAGTTTTTGACATTTTTCGGTTTGCGATTTTTTTGTTTTTAATTTAAATAATTACTTTTGACTTTCTTTCTATTTATTTTTGATGTTCTTCCCTCCTTCGTGATCGCTTAACCGCATTAAGCAATTAAATAAATCGCGTTTAAGTGTTTAAAGTTGTTTTTGACATAGAAAAAGCTTACACTTATTGCGGCAGTTTCTTTTGCATTTCTATGTGGCATGCCACAAAATGTGGCACACAAAAAATACGCACATTGTGTGTGTTCATGCTCCAAATGATGCGATTTTCACAACTTTTCCTCAACACTTTTCACTTTTGAAGTCAAGTGTTGGGAAGTAGAAATATTTTATACAAACACACACATGCATCGGGCGCGCTTCTGTGTATTGGTGTGCGTGCAAAAAAGTGAAAATTGCATTAATTTGTTTCATTTCGCAGCATCAGCGCAAAGTAGCTAGTTGTTGTAGAATTTCTGCTGTAAAATTAAAAAAAAAAAATTGCAAGGCTTGCCGTGGGCGCCCTTGCACATGAGTGCATTTGTATATGTGTGTGTTGCCTTCTCGCTACACTTAGGTCTCTTTGATTTTTCTCCACTCACTTGCTGCTTTTTTATTGCAAATCTCTCGGAAAAAGTGATAATAATGAAAATAAATAATGAAGCGCTCTAGAGTGTTAAGGCAAACACGCCTCTCTCACCGCCAGCAATGTTGCAATTTATGTTAATAAATATCTCATTTTTTACTTCTTAATGGACGTGTATGCCTGTATATATTTAATATTTTTATAACATGCTTATTTATTTATGCAAAAGCATAATATATTTTATTACAATCAGCGCTGCACTCAAACGCAATCTCGCCAATGCACTTAGCGGCAGCTTGTTAGCAGCGGCTAATCAATTAAGCAGGCAGTCATGCGTGTCAGCCGCACATGCAATGCATTAGCGTTACTATAAAAAATAAGTATGTTATGTACATACATATAATGTGCTGCGTAAAAATAAAAACAAGCAGTTAGTATTTTAAAGTATGAAAAAAGTTTAGTAAAAGTTACAAATGCAATTCAGCGCTGTTTTTTTAGCTTCTATAAATAAATATTTGTTATCTGCCGCTTAAATTTTTAAATTCAGCGAAAGTTTTTTAGTAAAATTGATAACATTTTAACTTAAATTTTTTTGCTTACACTAGCGCATAGCAGTTCAGCTTGTCAGCACATGTTGTCTAACTAATTCAGCGAAAGTTTTTTGAGCAAAATTTATAACATTTTCACTGCTGCAATTCAGCAATACAGCTCACATAATTCTGCAGAATACAGTCAGATTTGCTGCGTAAAAAAGACTTAGCCTTACTATAGAACCATTCCTTGGTTAATGTATTCTTAAGGGAAATCGCACGCACGCGTTTATCTATGTTCTTATTTTTATCAGCATTTAAAGCTTTTCAACACTAGTTCTGCTTGTACTTAACGTTTCATAACACTATTATTAGTAATTCAGCTGTTTAATTAAGTTTAACTTTCATTAAAACGTAATAGAATAATTTTTTTTCTGCTAAATTTTTTCGTTTTTCTCATGGTTTGTTACGACTGGCTCATTAATGCTTACTCTCCGGTAAATTTTACAAACCCTCCCTAATTTATTACTTTTAAGGCAATTCCGCTTTTATAAAGTGAATTCAGCCGTTTTTAAAGTGAATTTAGCACCGATGAACAGAAATTTTTAGGACAGTTTCTAAACAAAATATTTATATTTGGAGTAATTTATCACTTTTTTGCGACATGTTGTGTAAATTTAAGCTTTCTGTGCACATTTACTTACTTCAGTTACTTTTGCTGTTATTCAGCGGATTTAAACTGAATTCAGCATGGTTTTTACTTAACAGCTGTGTAATATTTAATATTTTCTAAAAAGTCAAAATCAGTCAAAACTCTAAATAAGTATTTGCAAAGTTAATTCAGCGCATTTATAGCAGTTTCTTAAGTGAATTCACCTCTTTTAATTAGCATGTTTCACTTTCAAACTCTTCACTCACTTGCTTGCCGCAGACTTTATGAATTTTAATTTAATATATATTTTTATATGCATATTGAATCAATTTAAACTTTATTCGGCTTGGTTTTTATTTACCAGCTGTGTAATAGTTCACATAATTCCAGTGAGAGAAATGCCAAACCTTTCATTATGTAACTATAAACCTAATTCAGCGCAATTCTTTTATATTTTAATAACAACAAATAGATTAACTGTTTCTTTTCCCATATATTTCTTACTATTCAGCTTTGTGAAAAGCTATTCAGCGCAATTTTTTCAAAACATTTTATTGTTCATTCAATTACAGTGTGTTAATTACTTTACTACTAATATGATTTTTCTCATTCAGCTTAATTAATAACCATTCAGCGCATATATTTTAATAAATAATATCAAGTGAACAATTTAGAGAAATTTATTTCCACTGCATATACCTTTAAGTAATACTCCCTTTGATCTCGTTTAATTTAAGTCAATTTAGCATAACTCTCGACAAATATTTTATGGCTTAACAGCAAAAGTCACTTCGAATTTCGGTTTTTATTACTCTTCATATTCTTATTTGTCACACTTACGGGCATGCATGCCTTTTATGCCACACCTACCCACATTTAATATGGCACACATCACTCTCTGCAGCTAATTAATAAATTTTTTACAAATTACACGACGATATGCATCACCATAACGGTAAAAATGACAAAGAATAATGAGAAATGTAAAAGCACAACAACAAAAACAAATGCAAACTCAACGTGGCAGCACTAATTTTTGTCATAATAACAGAAAAATATCCAAGAGTGACAAGTTGAGTGTCAGTGCCAAGCAAATACGCTTTTAACTAAGTAAATAAGTAAATGAATAAGTAAGTGTATGAGCGCATAAATCTGAGAATAAGCAACGCTGTATGTGTGTCAGCGCCTGTCTGCGTTTGTGTGCACTTAAGAAGACATAATGCGAGCATAAGGCCGCAAAGCATATGCAGCTGCTTACCGTTACCAACGTATTTACATATTTGCATGTGTTAGTGTGTGCGTGTATACATATGAGCGCATGCAACATTACCTTCAAGCTGCACATTTTCCGTTTCCATTATTGTGTATTGTGTTTTTCCAAACAATTCACTTGTAGCAAACGGCCCAGCCTACGGACGGACGGCTCTTTACTTAAACATCAGTTTCATCTTCAGGCTTTTAATTTTATTACCATTGTTGCTATTAACGTCTTTACATCTTTACATTAGTGCAACGTTGTTGTTTTTGCTGTTACTGTAAAGCATACATTCGGCTTTAATGGCACATGAACACACCTACACACACACACACTGGCGTGCAAAGCAATTTGACACACACACACTGGCGTGCAAAGCAATTTGTAAGCTAGCGTTCTGCAGGGGTGTGTGTGTGTGTGGCATCACTTTCATCGCTTGTCTGCAACAGCAGCAATAACAACAAACAATGCGTAATTACAATGCCGACACTGCAAATCACAGTAGCGTGAAGAATTTTTTAATAATTACAAAGCGACAGCGGCAGTGGCAGCGCGCCCAACGAAGCCGCAACCACCTGCCTTCAGCCATCGGCTGGTAGCCGCGTTGGCGCGCTCCGCTTGCTTGACTGCCGCAG